ACGTGCAATCAAACTAGTTAATATTAAAAGAAAGAGTAGACTTTACTAATAATTAATTGAAAGAGTAGACATTACTAATAATTAATATGAGAGTTTTACAATAACATTAGAAGTTTTAGGGACTGAAGTGGCGTATAATATGATTAATTAACAATAATAATTAATTTAGTTTAGTTAGGATTAAAATGTAATATTTTAAAAATAAGGGTAATATAGTCCATAGAAATTTTTTCTTCAACTTTCTCTTGTAAAGGGAGTATAATTCTAAGTGAAGTATATAATTTTATTTATATTTTAAAATCTCGAGACTTATTCAAAATATGATGCTTAAAATTTTCCACATCTTCTGTTCTATATAAATATAAGTTAAGTCTCTGCCATCATATTATGCGATGAACATTATTTATCAAAGGAACTACATACTATTGCTTGTGGTTAACAAAGGCTTCAAGTCTTTATAGGCTTAATGAAACTTAAATACCTTATAGGTTACAAAAGTTACACTCATATACCTACACTTATATCTTAATGCACTTAAATATCCTAATGTTTTCTAAAATTACATGTTTGTACTTATATACGCAATAATGCACTTAAATATCCTAATGTTTTCTAAAATTACATGTTTGTACTTATATACGCAAGAATACTCTTTATAATTTTCCAAATATCCTAATGTTTTCTAAAATTACATGTTTGTACTTATATACGCAAGAATACTCTTTATAATTTTCCTATGTGAGAGCCATGGTATAATTTTAGGACAATTCTATATTTTCTACTCCTTCCAAAATAATTTATTAACTTGCAGTTATCTATTAATATAGTATTATGCATTATTAATAATTAATATGAGAATTTTACAATAACATTGGAAGTTTTAGGGCCAAGTTAGACAAAATTGAAGTGATATATAATATGATTAATTAATAATGATAATTAATTCAGTTAATTTATGATTAGAATATAATATAAAAAAAAGAATAGGGACAACATAGTTCATGAAAAGTTTTTCCACAACCCCCACTTTTAAAGGTAGTATGATAAGGATCTAAAATCATGTCTGATAAACTTTGCTTATTTATGTTTTTTTTTTCTTATAAGCAGACAGAAAAATTGCCATTTCGGGCCAACTTATTTTTAAGCACTTATAAGTAGGTTTACTTATTTATAATTTGATCCTCTAGATCATTATTAGAAAACACCCATTAAGTACAGGGATTATCACAAAAACTCTCTTTAATTTTTAGATTTTATCAGAAAACTCCCTTTAACTTTGAGATTTCATTAGAAAATCCCCTCTCAAAGTTGAAGTGAGTTTTCTGATAAACTCTGAAAGTTAAAGGGATGTTTTGTGATAATCCCGGTAAAGGGGGTACATTTCTCATATTTTGAAGTTAATGAGGGTTTTCTGACAATCATCCAAAGTTAAGGTATACAATAAAATTTTGTGATCGGAGGTAACGAGGGTTGACACTTATAGATGATATGTTTATACGATTTGAAGTTTGTTATGCATCAATATCTAAGCTACCTTATGGTCCTTATCTAATGATATAAGTTTAATCTCTTTTTTTGGTAATTTGTAAAGCTTTAGTGTACGTGTCTCACCCTGAAACCGATCAAAAAAAAAATTGTAATCTGTTTTAAGTATATTTCAAATTAAATTTAAATTTGGACTATTCTCAAATCATTTTAAAATCCATTTCACTATATCTAAAATTTGAACTTTTTAGTAAATTAAGGCTTGAAACTTTCAAATATAAACCTGTTGTCCATTACTTAAAAGCAAAATCTTACAACAGTAAAGAACACTATGCATGCAACATCAGACAATATTCATTGTTCATAAAACAATAAGACATCATTCATGTAAAGCAAATCATTGCTCATGCTACAGTAAAATTCTTAAGTGTCAAACTCTGTTCAGGCAAGAGGCACTATTCATGCTAGAGGAGATTTTGATTACCATTGTTTGTGCTACAGTAAACCTTTTTAGCTTAATGACATTGTTCATTTTATAGTAAATTTTGATTGACATTGTGTCTTGTTATTTGATTGTTTTTAACATGATAGAGTAAAAAATACAACAAAATTAATGACATAAGACCATTTTTAATTAGATGTGCAAAACAAAACTCTAGGCTACGCTTAGCATGATGTAAATACTGGTAACCTTATAGTGACAAAGTCTCTAGGTATAAGTCATATTGGGTTTCGACCTTTTGGCCAGAGGAAAAAGGATAAATTGCAGAAAACTGAGCACCCTCAAATTTAGGAATAATCAAGAAATCCCCAAATTTAGGAATAATCAAGAAATCTTGGTCAACTTTGACGTTTTCTCAAAAAAGACACTCTTAAAAGAAGCATGAAGCACAATTTTCGCTGTCAAAAATATCCGCTAATGTTATTTTATCCACCTACGTAAAAATTGCACTTAACAGTGTTAGTTTTTTTTAATACTGAGCAATTATTATTATTATCATTATTTTATTATTATTATTTTTGAGGGGGGCGGTGCGGCGGCGCTCCGATGACCACTAAACTTAAAAGGGCTCTTCTATATTTTAAAAGTTATGGGGTTTGTCTGATAATCTTCCAAAGTTAGGGAGGTTTCCTCAAATCTAGCAAAAGCATACTGTTAACCGTTAAGGATTCATGAATGCTTGTCAATTGCAATTTTGCAAAGAACTGAACAGCATGGACTGTAGAATCCTTTTCTGAACTAAAACCATCTTTGGCAAAACTACAACCTAACCTCTAAAAATGCCATCTAACTAGCCCACTGATTTTTCCTACTCAAGCAATTTTATCAAGCAGTAATCTCTTTCCCAAGATGTACAATCAAACTGCTAACACAGCTCCTAATCACATTCAATGAACACTAAAACCCAATTTTGGTCCCAATTAAAACCAACAGCCAAAGTCCCTGGAATCTCTGACCTTTTAGCTTTTGATGACAAATCTATGGAGTCACAGTTTTTGCCTATTTGGGACACTCGGCCAATATATCTGCGGACTCCTCTCCAATAAATACTGACCAATCTCCGCTCTCGGTTCTCCAATAAATCCTCTTTTTGAAAAATAAAAGGATCGGATAGGGGTATTTAGGTATTTACCTTGCCATGGACATTTACATTTCTGAGGAGTATGTGATCAGGCGGCGGGAAGAGAGGAAGAAGATCAGGGAGGCAAAGGGTAACGAAAAACGGACGGCGGATCGAGGGGATGCAGAGGGCGAAGGGAAGAGATGGACGGCTAGGATTGAGAGAGAGAAGGGACATAGTATGGTGAGTGGTGATGTGGTCTTTGGTTGTTTCTCTGCCTAGTGAGCAAATGTGAAATGCCCACCTCTTGGGATGTATTTACGATAGAACCTAAAGCACACTACCGTTTCAAGTTTTTTTGGAGGTCTATTTTCGTTAAACATTGACATTAAGACGGGAATGTGAATTTTGTTTTTGTTTTTGTTTTATCTAGAGTATCTAAGATATTTATTTCGTGGGTTATTTGGATAAGAAAAATTCTCCAAGGACCCAAAATATGGGACCAATAGAGGGGACAAATGAGGTGTCCCCCTCCTACTGGATAATGAGTTGGCCATTATTAATGATGGCCAACTCATTATCCAGTAGGAGGGGGACACCTCACTTGTCCCCTCTATTGGTCCTATATTTTGGGTCCCTGTAGCAAAGCTCTTTGGATAATAATACCTCAATTAGTACATAAAGTTTGGGGTAAATTTCACGTAACCCCTCAAAGTTTGGTCTATTCTGAGATAAAATGAAAAGCTTTTAGAAATGTCAAATCATATTTAGAAAGTTTTGCCCGGTAACCTTTAAATTTCTTAATAACTCTCCAATTTGACATATTTTTGGTGTTTTGTGTCATTTTAAAAGATTTTAATGTTATCACAAAACGGACAAATTTTTTTGGCGAGCTCTATGAAACCTATAACCTCAAAGTTTAATAGAAATGACATGAACGCGGACGACAGTAATACTTTATGCATCTTTTAATAAAAGAATGGAATCAGCATGATTATTTAATTTCACCATAATAGTAATTCATGAAGTCGATTTCTCCCGGAATCCATGTGAGCTTACTAAAGTCTATGATCTGAAAGCAAGCATCTTGGTAGTTCACCCGGCCGGCCCGAACCTGGCCCGGGACCGGATAAGGCCCGAAAAATTTGAGCCGACCGGGCCGAGTTGGTGAAGCCCGACCAGGGTTCGGCACGATTTTTAACTTTATATATATTATATATATTTTTATATTTTTTATATATAAGTATAGTGTGATATGGTCATTAATGTATAATTATATATTTTTAAGTGTATATTATCATTAATGTATACTTATATATACTTACATATATATTTCTAAGGTATACTATATATATAATTATAGTATAATATGGTCAATAATATATACTTACATATAATATATAGCTATATACTAATATAGTAATATGTAAGTATATACTAATACACACTTATATAAATATAATAAGATTAATCTAAATTTTTATCAAATTTTTTAGTAAAAAATAAAAAAATAAAATATACAAAAATATACAAAAAAACAAAAAAAATCAGAGCCGGCCCAGAGCCTAGCCCGATTTGGCCCGAACCCGACCTATCGGCCCGGGCACCTGCACCTTAGGTCCAATCCGGGTTAGGCATTTTGACCGGCGCGGACCTGGCAATCCGGTCCGGGCCATGTCGGCCGGTCCAACCCGTTTGGACAGCCCTAATGATAGCAAGCAAGATCATGTTTAGGTCGTGAAAGTCACATACAACTAAACAAGTCTAACATTTTCTATATATTTTATCAAGTAGTTCATTAATGAGTTTCTTAATTTCACTAGCGGAGAATCCCCGATAATTGTCTTTCCATGACTCCAACAGACAAAAAAACACAAGAAAAGCATTAAAACGTACTGGAAATTTACCGTAATCAAGAATTATAAGACTTAAAAGCTAAACCATTATTAATAATATCCAAAAAATGCGGATACTTCGACTCAAATTTTATTTTTGGATTTTCAAACTGAAAACCTGTATCATTGGATGGTTGATGTGGCTCTAACATAGAAGCAACAAACAGCGAAGGATAAAAGCAGCAGTAGCGAAGAAGCAGCAGCAGTTCGACGGTGTGCGGCCAGCAAACACTGTCACGGTCCAGAGTAAGGACCATAGACTGCCACGGCATCTGTCGGCGGCAGCGTCGAATTCGCTGGAAAGAAGACACAAATGCCATGAAATTCTCCACTGATGCTCTATAACAGCGGCTGTTCTCAGTATAATTTTCACCCAAGAGATAAGAAAACACTTGCACACGCAGAGAGAGCATCTAATCTGAAGGACAATGATATCAACAGAAGGTACATAGATCAAGGAGAGTTAAATTATTGTTACACCGATAACTTACCTCATACACGCACCAAATATAATTCACCATAGTAAGTAATACTATGTTCGCATTTAGACATTTAGTAATGCGTATTTAACTCTCCGATATGGAGCTATAACCAACTGCGTCTTCAACATGAACAGGGGCAATGGCCGATATCACAACTGATGTGCCGAGCAATACCACAACAAGGGCAGTGAAATTAACCAAGTACGCTTCAGTACCATATTTCGCAAGCCCTGAACTCTGGAGGAAGGTGAGCTTCTCAAGAAGCCCGAGTTGAGCAGTAGCGACGGCAAGTATGTAAACAAAGAGCCCCAACAGCACGTGCCATGGAAGTGCATCACGTCTTATATTTGGTGCAGCTCCAGGGAAGAAGAAGGTTACAAACCCAAAAATCCACTGCATAAATGGCAAAACACGATAAAAGGCTACTAGCCAATTTTCAATGAAAGAACTTAAATTCCAATAGTTTCTTATTTTCTATCTTGTTTACAGTCACCAACTGTTCAATTATTTTCATAGTGGTCATGATAACCACATTGTTTTGAGAGTTCTTTTTCGGCTAAATCGCCATATTGGTATTTTTAGAAAGACACACTTTTCCAATTTAGTACTTTTTTTTTCTCCGGCCACATTAAGGTATCAATATTGTATTTCTACTTGTAAGACATGAATGCTCACTGTTGGCGAAGAATTTAGTGCAAAAACGTCACATGACAATCACATGACCTTTTATGGGCCTTTTTAAACGTTTATGTGACAGTGATTTAATGATATGTCAAGAATATATGACGATTAATAGTCTGAGATTCGTGAGATATGTGAAATTTATATGTTTTGAAGATCTTTTTAGTCTAAATTGAGCATGAATATTAATGGAGGTATCACAAGAAAGTTATGCGATGATCTTATGATATTTTCATGCCAGATTCTAGCTGCAAGTATTAATGCCTTATTGACATTCAATATTGATATCTTAATGTTTGCTGAAGAAAATAAAAATACTATATCGGTAATTTAACTGTTCTTTTTTTTAACTCCAAGTACCTTTTTAGTTTTGGACATATTGTGGCCCCATCCTAATAGCACCACAATTAGTTATTTACAAAGCTATATCTATCCTACACTTATATTGATCTTCATAGTTGATTTCTACTCTCCTTGTTCCAATAACTGTAGATTTCAAGACATGAACTACTTACTTTAAATTTAAAGTTTTGGCTAATTAGTTTACTTAGTGTTATAACAATAATGGTAAAGCTTTTGTCCTAAAACTTTCGTGATCCACTACATGAATCCTTTGGTTCCACTCAACTATGAATCCTTTGATTCCACTTAATTATGTTTCGGTTGTTCTTTGATTCCATTCAACTATATTTAGTCTGTCCTTGATTATATAAACTACAACGATATCCTCTTTATTTGCCTACTTCCATGTGCATCTAGACCTACCTCAGTTCTCACATGCTATTTAACCTAGGAGCCTATCACTTCACTTAGTTGGTCAACCCATTTTTATATGGCACTATTACTCATATTACTCGTAAGAGCATCTCCAACAAGCTCCTAGTTGGGAGTCCTTGTTGGAGAGCTCTCAAGCCCTCTCAAGACCATGGCTCACCATTTTTAATGTCACATCACGCTCCTAACTAATGTTGATCTCTAACAAACTTCTAGTTAGGAGCTCCAACAATATCAAAAAAACTCATCTTCTATTTTATTTTTATTATCCATTACTTTCAATTATATTTAAACATCTTTTATTTGATTCCTAACCGTTGGACACGGTCTTCGAGGGAGCACACGCTTTCATCGACAACCAACATAATCCTATCCACTGGGCACAGTCTTCGAGGTAACCCGCGGTCTTCGAGGTTGCCTATATTTCCACCGATAACCGACAGATTCATATCCGTTGGACACGGTCTTTAACGGAGCATGCACTTTCACTGACAACTAACAGATTCCTATCCGTTGGGCACGAAGTTCGAGGTATCACGCACTTTGTCCGTCAACTGACTGATTCCTATAAAATTCGACACCTTCTCACCTCAACCCATCATCTCCCACAACAAAATATCTAGCTCATCTAGCTCAAGCAATAATAAAATGATCAAGACGTTCTTTCTTATGGGAGTTGTTGTCGAGAAAGAAGAACAAGAGAAAGTTGGAACTTCATGTTAACACAAAAGACGTATCGTGCTTCATCGAAACCGACTAGAAGGCCACAATCGGTTGTTCTAAGATTATTTTACAGACACACCAACCTATCCTCTTCATTATTTTCATCGAAGATTCAGAATGTCACGTTCGTTATTCCTTCAAATCCACAACGCAGTCGTCGAACATGACGAGTAATTCATCCAAAAGAGGAATGGTGTTGGATAGTTAGGATTATCTAGCCTTCAAAAAATTACTATAGCTATGCGAATGCTCGCATATGGAGCATCCGCCGACTTCATTGACGACTACGTTCGGATCGGTGAAAGTACGTCGATTGAGAGCCTGAAGAGGTTCGTTCGATTGATTATCGACATCTTTGGGGAGGAATATCTTCGTTCACCGACTAATGAAGACGTTGCACGCCTGCTTGATGAAGGTTCACAACAAGGTTTTCCTGGTATGCTTGGGAGCATCGACTGCATGCACTGGACATGGAAGAACTGTCCAACCGCCTGACATGGTATGTATATTGGGCATTTTCATGAACCTACAATTATTTTGGAGGTTGTAGCTAACAAAGATTTTTGGATATGAAATGCTTTCTTTGGACTGTCGGGGTCTCACAATAACATCAATGTTCTATATCGTTCATCGATTTCCGCACAGCTTGTAGAGGGAAGAGCTTCATCGTGCAACTATACTGTCAATGGGTATGAGTACAATATGGGATACTATCTCGCCGACGGGATTTACCTAGAGTGGTCCACATTAGTGAAGACTATTCCAGCACCTCGAGGAAAAAGAATAAGTATTTTGCTCAACAACAAGAGAGCAGGAAAAGATGTCGAGCGAGCTTTTGACGTGTTGCAAGCTCGATTTGCGATTGTTCATGGACCAGCACGTTTCTAGCAACATAGTGTGCTGAAAGACATCATGACAGCTTGCATCATAATGCATAACATGATCGTTGAAGATGAATGAGATTATCAATTTGACAACTTCGATTTTTTTGATTCGATACCAGTGGTTGAACCTTCTCATGTACGGACGGTGCCTCTAACTGAGTTCATCCAAAATCATCATCGGATCAGGAACACACAAACACACAAATCACTAAAGAATAATTTGATCGAGCATCTGTGGCAGCTCAAGAGATTCTTAGTCGAGAATTAAGTTTCTTTGTCTAATGTAATTTCAACGAACTTGTTCGAGTTGTTGTACTACGCCAATTTTAATTTTAATAAAATAGTTGTATTCATTCAATGCTAAAATTTTCAACTGCTAATACAATCATAAATCTAATACAATATAATATATGATAATTAGGAAGAACCCTTAGATATCCACCTCTCTAATATCTCTGCCTGACGCATTTCAAAATATTGTCATTGAACTGAATTGAGTGTTGAGAGATTCATCTTCATGATATCGTCATCTTATTTCTTCTGTTTTAGCTTCATATTTTGATTAGTGGTTTGCTTCACCCACGCGAAAGCCTCTCCCATGATGGACTTAGCGGACTCAGAGTTTTTCACATTTTGTTTTCTCTTGAGCTTTGTCGCTTTCCTCCCTTCAGGTCTTGCTATAACATCATCCGAGTCAGTGTTCAACTCGATGGGGGTTGCTGGAGAGGAATTGTTTGGTGAGGAATCAAAGTTTGTGGTTTTTCTTGGCTGTGATCGAATCTTATTGTAAGTTTCAATCTGTTGGATCCACTTTTGATGATGACGTAACTCAACCCAACAATGGTCAAACACAAATGGCTTACCATAAAAAGATTGGTATAATTCTTTTACTTCTGCAGATTACACAGGAGTTAAATTTAGAATAAGTAAACGTATGACGCTTGAAGAGAACGGTGAAGAAGACAAATGTGCACTATTCTTGATCTGATCTTGCCAGGGAGAAGGGTATCCAACAAACAGAGTGATGCTTCTGTCATATCTTTATTATAAGAGTCTATTTTTTCATTTTTTAGGAATCCGTATAAATAGACTGTTTGGCTTAGTGTTCGTATAAAACTATAAAAAGAGGTTGTTTTCTTGCAATTTTTGCAAAAGGAATTTTTCTCACCTCAAAGGAAGTGCAGCTAGGCTATCCATCATAACATAATATAGGAAAGCCCCCCCTTGTCAACTCCATACGAATGCTTAGTTTGCCGTGAATGAGAATTCTTGTTGCTTGTTGGCTCCTTCCTGTTGCAACCAATACTAAATGGCAATAGTCTTTTCACGTTAAATGCCTTGAGACCAGCGGGAAGTCAAAGTCAGGCAGCTTGTCCCCAAAGATTAATTCACTTTTCTTTGTCAAATAGTTATATCTATCAAGATTGCAGACCTCAGTTATCGTGCTTTTAGGGCTAATACCAAATCTACTGTATAGCGAGTTTATAAGTATCTTGTAAACATAGGACATCGCGTCAGGAGGAGCCCATAGGTGTTTATAAGTTAAATATTTACCTGATCAATAATTCACGCACCAGATCTTTGTCTTCCTTCAATCTGAGCAACACACCCGCAAAATTTGTTGACGAACAATTGAATCATTGACCAACGATGCATCATTTGGTTTAGTGTGCGGCTCGTTGGATAGGTGGAGTATTAGATAAAGTAATCGTTAGCTCTGTGTCAAAACTTATCTTTGTGTTGCCCCGTACCTTGGATGGTGTCTTAGCTCGTGTTCAGCCAAATAGATACAAGAAGCTTATCCTCGTGGATAGTCTAATTTTCGGATCACGTGTAAGCCTTCTTCTTCTTTATGGTCGGTGTTTCTTAGGATGACACTTGTTGTGTTGTCGATTGCGAGAACTCATGGATGAGATGACCTTCTTCTACGACGTCTATGTAGAACGACGGGTATAAGGCCGATCCTTCACCGGTAAGGAGTTGCGAATAAAAGTTTTGGGAGGGATCCATAAGATTTGTAATTTGATAGGAAAATATAGAATTTTTTTTTTATGAGAGAGTTGTGTGGAATGTTTTGTGTAGTGAATTGAGTATTTATAAAAAAAATTATTGTTCATGACAATTTTTTAAATCTCAACAGCTAATTTTTAAACGGCTAATTTACTGTTCATGCCAATTTTGAAAAATCTTAACGACTAATTTTTAAACCGCTATTTTTAAATTGTGCTCAAAGGTAGGGGTTTTTTGTAAAAAAAAAATTTAATGGCTGGGAGCTCCCAAGCGCTCCATGGCACACCTCCCTAGGCTGCGTGCCACGCCAGCCCAAGGATTAGCCTTGGGAGCTTGCTGGAGCATCTGCAGCAAGCTCCCACCGCCACCTCAGCCTTAGGAGGTGAGGTGAGAGCTTGCTGCAGATGCTCGAAGAGCCGGTTGTATCAAACATATGAACTTCGATATTTGTTGAATATATGTTGGATAATCTTTTTCACATATCCAAAAACCAGTAACATATTATTGGCATATCCAAGACCCAAAAGGTAAAAAGTTGCAGTGGTAAATCAAGCTCAGGAGCCATTGTTCTGAATTTGTGGTTTATGTTTACAAATAGAGCTTACTTTAATCACTCATTATCCACAATGAAGCTCATACCTCATCAGATGCTCTCTCTAATACAAACACAACAGCTATTACTGAAACTAGTAGTTCAAACTTTGTTCTAAGACTAAAAAATTGTATGTCAATTTGATGTTCTTTCTGTTATTTAGATGTTTCATACTATTCTACCCAGCTTAAAGATACAATTGTTATGACAAATCCCCAGGATAAACTACTATCAATCACACGAAAGTACTAAAAGTATCGAGAACACAAGAACATAAGGATATATGTGGTTCGACTTGTAGCCTATGTCCACTGGCGATGGAGGAGAATAACTTTACCAAATTGTGAGGAATATAATGTGAAGATCTCTCAATTGCCCAATCCCTAACACACCCCAAAAATCTAATGCAACTCTCTCAAATAAAGGAATAAAAGAGAGAGAAATATCAAATAGGCTTCACAAGAGGATTATCTGTTCTTAATTGGTGCTCTGTAGATTGATGATTATAATTGGCTTGGAAGACTATATATATATAGGCTTGAAGACCCCAACTCCTTGCTGCCTACGGAATAAGAGTTCTAGTGGGAATACAAGTCCACGTGCTCTTAAACCCAATAAGAGTCCAAGCCCGTAATGACTTCTATTCTTGTTGCAATTAGAGTCCTAATAAGAGTTCACTTGCGGCTTTCCTTATCACCGACCTATGCACACTAGGATTGCATTGATGATGACCAACTTAGTTCCTAATCAAAATGGATCCTCTCAGCCAAGTCTATCCAATAGAGGAATCTCTTGATTCAAGTCCATAGTTGAGTCACGCTAACAACAATTAACACTGATTCTTCAGTTCTTCGGAACATTAGAACAAGTGATTGTTTTCTTGTTTTTATGACATCAAATGGATTAAAAAGTTCAAAGTAAAGGAAAACAATGGAATTTTTCAATGACAATCATAAGTAAGAATATCAGTAATTTCAATAAGATAATTACCTGAATGCCGTATAAACAGATTGTACCAAGTCCAAGCCAAGAGTGCAAGCTGTAAAGATTGGCAATTCCACTTTCATTGTGAAATTTGAAGGCAGCATAGATTCCCACAGCACCAAGAACAATCGCAATCCCATGGAGAATCAAATGGATCAATTTCTTTACTTCTTTACTCCATGGAAGACCTCTATAGCTCATTATTGCTGAAATTATATTTGGACAAAACGAATACGAATAAGTTTTGCTCACTCACTTTTTTTTAAGAGACAAATAATCCTTGTATTAAACTTGCACACCTTCACCCCCGAGGATAATAAAGCCGATCAGCATGAGAACTGGATGAATCTGAGAGAAGATAAAGAAGTTAAAAATCACAATTTTAGAGAAAAAAATCATTCAAGGGCATAAAAGATTAGCTTAAATTTGCCCTGGAGGTGTGTTTGGGGTTGGTAATTGAAAAGAGGCAATATGTACAAAATACCAGGCACAAATAGTACCCCCCCTCAGATCCTTCTTTCAACAATATCAAATCCTAGATTGCGATTAAACATTCATTTATTTAAGATTTTACTGAAAGACCCAAATATACGAAGGAATGGGTTCATCTTTTATTTGGATGGATTGTTTCGAAGTGTTGGTAATCATCAAATAGGAAATAATATCTTCTGTATACGCTAGATAAATTCCACTCAAACTGCTGATTAAAGACACTAGTACTTGGTAATTTCATTTTATCCACAGATGAATTCGAAACCCACATGATTTTATCAACTAGATGGAAGTATAATAATTAATCTCTACTGAATTAATAATATATCATAAAACAACAAACATGTAGATTGGGAACTAATATGGTTTTTTTTTCCCCGGCCCATGTGTGTCTCAGAGGATAAAGATGATTGGACAACGAACACCCAATAGAAGCAAAGCAAAGAATCAACCACAAAACAATAAAATTCGCAATTAAATTCCATAAAATAAAATGACGAGAGGGGATCATAATAAGAATAAATTTGTTAATACTAACTAACATTGAAGATGAGATTCTTGTTGGTGGCCTCAAAGGCGAGGCCTCCCCGAAAATTGATGCACCAAACGAGCACGAGCACCGCCGCCGCCAACCCCAGCACGTGCGATGCATACGTGAACGGAGCTGCAGTCACTCCGACTAACCTACCCATTCTCTCTCTCTCTCTCTCTCGATTTTTTCCCCGCAGTCGACAATCTGATCTCTACAAGTATTCTTAATAACAAAACGCTAAATAGCACTTTAATACTTCAAAGATTCACTTATTTGGCACTGAGATACCCTCTCTTATTTTTTTAACATTTATATACACTAAGTTGTTTAAAATTAATAGGTTGATATCTTATATATATATCCTAAGTTGTTTAAAATTGTTAGGTTGATATCTTTTATCATGCAAACTTAAATATTTCACATGAATGTTCCACTACAATACTTGCAAACTAATTATGTAGTTTTCTAATCATTGATATTTATTAAATTTATCAGTAAGCTTATCTTAGCTTTAACTTAAAGCAGAATTAAGATAAGTTTCAAATAGAATTTTGCTAAGTTTAATAGTAAATTTAATAACTATTAACATTTGCACTTTGCTACTCCAAAGATTACACTGTTTTTAACTTTAATATCTCAAAGTTTTTTTGACACTTTAATACAAACGTCTACACCTATTCTAAACTTAGATGCCTTAAAGTTTTCTTCTAACATCTTAAAATTTATACATTTCTATAATTTTGCTATCCCAAGGTTTTATTTTTAACGTTTTGATACCCCAAAGTGTGGGGGTATTAAAGTTACAAAATACATAAATTTTACAACATCAAAGTTAAAAATTGTGTAAACTTTAAAAAATCAAAGCGCCCGAAATTTTTTTTTTAGAGTAGCAAATTAAAAGATATAAAGTTTGAAATATTAAAGTGTCAAATATAATCTTTAGAGTAACAAATTAAAAAAAATGTAAAGTTTGAGATATTGAAGTGTCAAATAAAAAGTTTGATCAAGGAAGTTCGTAAAAATGTGGACTTTTGGGTACCAAGGTGAGAATAACTCCAAGAATGAGGGTGAGAAAAGATTTTAGCCATGCTGTATCATTAACGCTGTCCTTATCTCTTCGTTGTATAAATTTATCGCGTCTCTACCAACTTCTATGCCGATCTGGCCGTTCAATTCCCGTCAGATTTAAGAGGTGATATTCTTTCCACGTGGGATGATCCCCACCCTACTGCAGTCAGCCATGACGTCGTCGATTAGTTGATTTTATAGTATAAATTAATTGATTGATAAGTTCAAAAATAAAAAGAATATAAAGAATTAATGAAAATGAAAAGAAAATATGAAATCTACTAAAGTTAGGATTACTCTAAAATTTTGAACAAATAAAATGTAACTTTAGTAAAAGAGACTATAAATAAACTTACAGTATATGTTCACTGCCACAATAACACTTAGGCTTCTTATCTAGAGTCACAAACCTCTCAAGATGATAAGATTCAGAATGTTGTAATTTTTCTAAGTCAAATCATATGAAAGATAAAATACCACAAATCGAATTGAGATGGTTTGACATAATAAATGTCACAAAGTTTCCCAATCAAAAGAGAGGGTAAAATTATCAATAGAGTAAAGATGATGGTATGTAAGTCTGAAAAACAAATAAATTTACGATATATGAAAGTAGTTAATTAGAGGGCAATTATGCTAAACCCCATGAACTTCTACCATTTTATAGAAAACACTAAACAACTTTCAAAATCATATCATATCATATCATACCACGCTTCTTATAATAGTGTGAGTTTGGGAAAAACTTTTTACGGTCAATATTATCCTTAATCCTTTTGGAAATTACATTCTAATGTTCTTCTCCTAATTAATAATATATATTCAAACATTTTAAAGGTAAAATTTTTAACCAAATTTTGATATGAAAAGAGATCAAGAACTAATTCTCTATCTAATAATTAGAAGATGACTTGTGTCCAACCAATTCTATATTTCTAAGAATTCTTATTAAATTATAATTATTCATATCCATAATTAGAAAATCATATCCATAAAAAGTAAAAGATCCTATCTATAAAAAAGTAGAAAATTCTAATAATCTAATCTTTGTTAATTCTAAACAAAATGTTATTGGGTCCTTTTATTTTGATAATGATTTTACAAACAATTTACAACTAATATTGTTTTCAATATTTTTTTGTGTTGTTTAGTATATACAGGAAATCGAGCTAAACAAGATATATTGAAGCTATGCATATCAAGTCAATCAATCTAAGTCCAAGCTTCAGAAGATTCTTTTCTGATATACTTAGTATAAGATTATATAATGTGTGTTAATTCTATAAGCTCAAATAAACACACACATTATATTTGTGATTTTTCATGAAAATAGGTGTTTTTATACAAAATACATTCAAATATGTTTTGGACTATACAAACTATGTTAACATCTTTTATTATGTATATAAAAAGATTACACAAGTTTTCAGAACTTGATTTGAGCTAAAATGGCAAAATCAACATATTTGAAAAATATGTATTTTTGCATTTTTGAATATTTCTGAGTTTTCACAAATGGTAAGAGCAATTTAAAAAATTCCTTTTCCAACATGTTCATATTCATGATTATAAAATTTTTCCAAAGTTTTACATTTTTTAGAATTTATTTACTATTTTTAATAGAGCCTCAAAACCCATATTCAAAAATCGTTTCAAGCTGATAACCTGTTATCAGTCGACTGATGACATCATCGACTGATAATTCGACTGAAGAATGTGCATGTAATCTTTAAAAGTTTCTATTCTATTTTGGTTACTGATGATCCATCAGTCGACTGATCAGTCGACTGATAAAGACAGTCAGTCGACTGATGAGCTGTCTGACACCTACAACGGTCAGCTCATCAGTCGACTGATGATTTCCTTCAGTCGACTGATAAGCCATAACAGCTATTTTTCCAGCTTTGAGTATTTTAACGTTTTTGCTGGTTTTCATTGGGTTTTGTGTCTTAGTTTTTCTTCCTATATAAACCCCTATTGTTCTCCTCAGAATAACTATTCAAGAGGGTTTTAACAAGAGTTTAAAAGTGTTTAAAAGAGTGTTTAAGTATTTAAGTTTGAGTTTACAAAGAGGTGGCTTGCTCTTTCAATTGAGGAATTCATCCTCAATCTTCTTCATCCTCTATTGTGTTTATAGAGAAGTTTTTCTAACTCTTTTCTCTAACAATTTATTATTGATTTTCATATTATTATTATTGCTAGTTTGCTAATTGAGTTAGGTTTTATTTACACTCATTTTATCACACACACCCTATTTGAGCTTGTAGGATTTCATACATCATATATTGGGTTGTGGGTTTGTGATTTGTGAGATTGAGCTTACATTGAGTTCTCATCTAATTAGAGAACATTTTATTGTAATTGAGCTTTATTGTGAATTGCACATTGTATTACACTTGTACACCGAGAGAAGTGTGTGATGAGAGACGGGGTCGGTTCCAAGAGGAGTGAGGTCGGTAGTAAAGCCTAGTGAGAGGTGGTAATTCCAAACACTTGAGGAAAGTGACACGGGCTAGGCCAACACTTAGAGGGTGTAAAGTGTATTTGCAAGTGTGTAAGTTGTAAAGTTTTCGGTGAACTAGAAACTCGTATTGTGAAGTGTAAACTTTATTCGGGTGAGCGTAGAAAACCCGGTTGTGATAGTGGAGATCTTCTCGAGGTGAGGAGCGGAGACGTATAGTCGTGGGGACCGAACTCCGTGATCATATCTTGTGTTTGCGTTTGTCTTTTGCGCACTATCACTTGTGTTTATTTACATCTTGTGTTTGCGTTTGTCTTTTGCGCACTATCACTTGTGTTTATTTACTCTTGTTCATATATCCTTGCATATATCAAATTGAATATCAAGATTGTTAGGATATATTTGTTAATAAATTTTAATCGGCATTAATATCTAATAAGATTAGCAATAACCCTATCCCCCCCCTAGGGTACTTTCAAATGTAACTATCCAAATTATTTTGAGAGATAACTGCATCTCATTAGAATATCACTAGCCATTAGGTAATGAGAGATAGAGATGAGGTACGGTAGAAGCTGTAATTGAGGCAATTAAGCTAAAAAAGTTCTAAATTGCAAGAGTAATAAAATGGAATGGAAAAGAGCATTTAAATAAAGAGGAATCTAATACTCATTAAATAAAAATAATAATTTAAAGACACGATCATATGTTCAATTTTGTGAAACAGTCAAAGTTAGTTGTAACGCAATTTTATGTCTCAAAAACAATAAGTCACTCAACTAAGAAAAGGATATATATTAGCGTGAAATATGTTAATTAGTCATTTTATAGCTTGCTAAATTTAACAATCCGAAATGTAAACATAGAATATAAATATATTATCTTGGAAAAAAAATTCTCATAATTAAAATTCATACATGATTATTGGTTATTGATATTTCCTTAGAATATGCATGGGGCATCACATTATATGAAAAATTATTAGATTATTAAATTGTGTAGAGTATAAAATTTAGGATTTTATAGTGTGGATTCGTGCAAATTGTAAGATGACCACATCAGATTGCAATGAAAATTAAATTATTTGCATAAATTTATGAGTTTTCATAAAATGGTGACCTTCATGTATTATTTATTGTAAATTATATTTAATGTGAATTGGCTATGTAATTTCACAACCGAGTTAAGTAAGGAAATAGACAAAAAATAAACAATAATAATATTTAGACATGTGCAATGCGCGTGCATCCAACCTAGTCGCATTAAAAGCACAATAATTTTTTAGAATTGTAGAAAACCCCCAAATAATTCCACATTTTGCAAATAACCCCCTAAATTATAGCCAGAAAGTATGAAAAGACATTTTGAAAGTAATTGGAAGTTTAGTATAATTTATCCAAAATATACTGGGGTATTGCGCAAAAATTATTTAGGGTTTAGTGTAATTTTGAAAATTATTGGGAGTTTACTGCAAATGCTGAAAGGTCTCGGGGGGTTTATGTAATTTACCCTTAATTAAATGGAGAAAATAGTCCTAGATAGAACTATAAAAAAAACAAAGCTGGGATTAGATGATTTATTATTCTTGTCAATTGTCGAGCCAGGCCAAGCCAAGACGGGACCACGGTAACAGAGTTAGATATTTTGCAACCGCTTCCAAATTCTCCTCATTAGTTTCACATATTG